ATTCTCACTCCGCGCCGGAGTCGCGACGAATTAGTGAAACACGTCCATCGGCCTGTTTTCAAGCACGTCAGATACGAGGCACCAGACGATGCTCTGTTTTCGATCAACTTGGCCAGTCTGCAGCGAGTTGTAGGTACGCTCGACATTGAGAAAGATCCGTCTATTATCTCTCTTCGCGGCGACCTCGCCAGGGCATCCCCTAATTCGTCTGAGTACTACCGACTTGACCAAAAATTGTCAAAGACCATTCTCAAAGAAAACACGTTCACACACAAGGGTCTTCGCGATTTCGAGCGCACGGCGGGGGATATCCTTTCCGACCTGGGTGCTTGGGCGGCAGACTGGTACGTTTGGACGGTGTTGGAGCAAGCCAAAAGGGCCTGCCAAGGTGATGAAATGATGCCTTCCTGGAAAACACGGGAGAAGAAGTATATGCTGGGCCTCCTAAACCAAGTTAATGTTTGCCCGGTGTCTTACTACGCATATGACATCGTCGAGGAGTCGTCTCAAAAAGTGGCAGAACTCGTGAAAGCACTACTGCGAGAGAAACAAGATTTCCAGGAAGACAATGAGGCGTTTAGCGGTCTTGTGTTTGTTACCCGTCGTGATGCGGTTCTAGCGCTCACGGAGATCCTCACACACCATCCTGACACGAAGGAGCTGTTCAAAATTGGAAGCTTATTGGGGGCATCTGACAGTAGCTATCGGCATTCGTTCTTGGACCTAACGCGCAAGCTGCTAAAACAATCGCCGGAGGAGACACTGAGGGATTTCAGGATCGGGGAGAAGAATCTTATCATCTCGACATCGGTTGCCGAGGAGGGCATTGATGTCCAGGCGTGTGGATGTGTTATACGCTGGGACCCGCCACTGAACATGGTGTCCTGGTTGCAAAGCCGAGGACGGGCGCGTCGGAAGCGTAGCACGTTTATTGTCATGTTCCAACGAGGCGGATTAGGTGAGGATGAGGTTCTAAAGTGGGAGACCACGGAAGCGGAGGTGCTACGCCTATGCAATGAACCAGAGAGAGTTATGACGGCTGAGCCTGATGAGTGGGATGAATGGGAGGAATTTAGGGTACCTTCAACAGGGTAAGGGTTTATGCATATTTCCGGCATCTGTTGCTTATGTCACCGTTTGTCAGTGCTCTACTGACTCTGGAGTCGGCTCTTCCTCATCTGGCCCATTTCGTAGCTATTCATCCGAATGCCAGCTTCAATCCTGATTTTCAGCCTTTGTATGATCTGGATCCGCCTGATCTACCGTTCGGATGGCATTCGTTTGAGAATCGGTCTACCAGTGTCGTCCAACCTTATTCCGGACCTTGGGGTTCGACGGTAACATTGCCTAGATTCCTGAGCTCGGAGCTCAGGGTACACTCAACGAGTAGAATTCATCCCACCAAACTGTCCGCACATCGGCATGCGGCTTTCAAGGCATACAAAGCGTTGTATGACAACGAATTACTGGATGACCATCTCTTGCCGCTCTTCTTCCGAGACGATGAGATCAAGAAGCTAGAAAGCGAGGTGGAGAAACGTGTTGGTGTGGTCAGCGTGTCGCCGCAGATGAACCCATGGGCACCGGTGGATGATTGTAGCGCTGTTTGGTATTGCTCCGAATTGACACTGGGAGAGCTTCCCCCTTTGCGTATGTTCACGCGTACACAGTGCCCGCCGTCATGGTTCTCGGACGACGGTCCTCCACCACTCTTTGCTCCTCGTCGTGGTCTCATCAAGGTCGCTCTCCGTGGTGCTGGGCAAGTTTCCCTCGATGATGAAGACATCGTTCGAGCGCGCGAATATACTCGGCGAATATTCTGGAGCATACATGGTCAACGGATGAGTTGGGATGACCTAGACTTTTCATATCTTTTCCTTCCTGCTCCGGGGACGGAAGACGATGAATGGGAGGATCGCCGGACATGGCTGAAAGAGGAAAATGAGCGCGAAGGGCGTTCTAACAAATACGCGTTTGATGCGAACGCACAGGATTTTGGGGAGGC